TAGGCTGGTGTCTACCTGGACATTTCTATTTGGCAATTCTCTTAAATGTATTTGCACTGATTTGATCTGTTTTCCTGGGAAATTTGTCTTTTTTATATTATTTTGTCATCTTTATTTTGTTTTAAGGAGTTAAAAATGGTCCTTATCAACCTTGATTGACATGGCAATAAAATTCGATCACATTATTTTGACAGTTAAAGTTTTGGGCGGTTTTTGGTGAGCTTTTGGGCTAGAAATCGTCCACCTGTTCTGGCAACACTGGCGTACAGTATATGCACATACTATTCTGCACTGTAAAAAATGATTGTGATTTTAACAGTAAAAGACTGTAAAAATGCTACAGTAAAAACCTGTTAACTGGTTAACAGTAAGTTTCCATACTATATTCGGTGAATACATGTAATTACATTTAATGTGATTTTTACAGTAAAATACTGTTAAAAATATGTTTTTTGGAAATGAAAAAGAAAAAGTCATTGTATAATTTATGGTGAAAAAACGTAAATTGACACTCCCAGAATTCCCTGCATGACACTTCATATTTGATGTTTTTCTTATCAGTTGTGTACATTAGGGTTCAATCTTACATCTAATGTTGTTAAATGAATGTTTATTGCATTATTTCAGTATTGTGTGTGTCACTATGATGGTGTTTAGTCTTTTTTTTTTTTTACAGTGTGGTGATGAAATTTGCGTCACATGCGCAGTACGCAGACCCTTGCGTACGTGTAAAAACCGAAGTATACTTTGGCCTTTACTAGAGAGGTTTGGGTTGCTATGCAGGTTGTTGCCAGGGGTTTTTGATGGCTGCTTGTGTTTCTAGATCGTTACTTGGGTGCTTTGGGTGGTTGCTAGAACGTTACTAGTTGGTTGCTAGGTTCCAGGTGCATACTGTATTAGGTCATTTCTAGGTAGTTTGTAAGGTGTTGGGTTGGTTGCTAGAACATTTCTCTTGTGCTGGGTGGTTGCCAGGGATTTGCTATGCAGATGTTAAGGTGCTCTAAATGTTGCTAGGGCATTTCTAGATGGTTACTAGGGTGTTGCTATGTAGTTACTAAGCCGAGAAGAGTGTATCATGTTGATATGCTGTTGCTGGTGTATTCTGGTTGGCTGCCCGTGAATTTCCTAAGATGTACAGTGTCTTTTTTCTTGCCATGTTTTTACACTGTTTGGGTTGTTTCTCGGCAGTCTCTACTGTAAGTGGTTGCAGTAGTGTTCTGGGAATTCCCAGGATGTTGATGCACAGTTTCTAATGTGTAAGGACTGTTTTTAGCATATTGCATTTCTAGGTGTTATTCTAGGTTGTTGCCTGGTGATTGCTAACAGTCCCAAATCAAAAGAGCCCACACTCAGGTCACTATCACTCTATGAGATTCTGGTCTGTAAATATGACAAGGTCCTAATTAGAAGTCTATGGGACTTTTTTCACCCATTATATTATCATCCCGCAGTCGGTCTGACCAACAAGCTGCAGTCAAAACCCCTAATATGAGTGTGCAGAGCTGCTTTCTGTCCCCCCAAACTAATTCTTGTTGACGCCAGTAGCAGGTGTCGACATGAAAGTGACTAATCTGTCTTTACAACTCTAAACTACTAAAGCTCAGGCTCATTTATTCATCACAGTTCAGCTGTGCGACAGAAATCACGCTGCGTAGATTTGAGAATTCAGCGAAGGGGAAATCAAGACATGTAATTATTCCCTGGGTTTGTCACTTTTCTGAACATTTGCTCATGTTATGCACATGCACATGCTTTGAGGAAAATCTTTGCTGTATCCTATGTTAATATTTTTTTAATCTAATCACAGACTATATGTAATATTAAAGCGAGTTCACCCAAAAATGAATACTATGTCATTTACTCAGCCTCAAGTTGTTCCAAGTTGAATCACATTAACTATGATCTACTAACATCTGACAAGCACAAAAGTGTCACAGTACCTTTATCTTCATTCGACCCTCCATCTGTTTGTGCATCTGTTCGTGTCTGTCTGCTGCAGACCATACTAGTTGGAGACAGTGGAGTGGGGAAGACATCTCTGCTAGTGCAGTTTGACCAGGGAAAATTCATCCCAGGATCCTTCTCTGCTACTGTGGGCATCGGCTTCACGGTGAGTCTCTCTGCAGAAGGTCACAGATACTGCTCTCTCAGGACACTCAGGTGACATTCGTTCTCTATGGGGAGAAAATACAATGCACAGGACCAGATACACTGCAAAATAATAATAATAATAAAATATAAAATAAAATAAATAAAAATAATAATGATAAAAAAATACAATAATTCAAAAATTCATATATAAATAAATACATGAAAATAATCATTTTATGTGTATAAATAAATAATAATAATAATACTTTTTTATTGTTTTAATGAGTGGATTTTCATTTTTCAGATGTAACTCTTTGACGGTGATTTAAGTAAACGAAACTGTTAAATAGACTTGTTTTAGACCATACAAACATAAAGCAGAGACAAATATTAGATATTCATATTTTAATTCAAAAGAATATTAATATTAAAAAGTAAGTGGAAAAAAAGTGGTTTCCCTCAAATCACACACACACACACACACACATATATATATATATATATATATATATATACAGTATATGTAATAAATATATTATATTGTTACGTTTAAATTTAGGATTTTATGCAGTTTGTAGGAATTTGCAGGAAAAAACAATATGCTGCAAAATATGGGCTAAATTAGCGAATGTTTCAGATAATTTGCTCTGCCTGCTGCATTTGCTCTTCTTTCTACTGTCATAACTCCCTGCAGAGAGCCGCTGGGCTTTCTCAACACAGAGCGTCTGATTACAATAATATGATAATGATCATTTTACTGCAGGCTCTGATTATAATTACAGAGGGATCTGTCTGGACTCGTTGGATCATCACTGTTTGTTGTTTTCCAAGTGTTTTTTTTTTCCCCCTTCATATTTTGTAATTAGTCTCAGTGTTTAATATGTGTGCAGAATATGAGCGGAGTATATTCTGGAAATATGATTTTTTTCAGTGCACAATTAAATACCTATTTAGGTAGACTGTGCCAAGAGTGAGCTTAAAGAAGACATACATGAATACATCATTGGTCCTTACAGCCGTCCTGCAGGATACAGGCACACTATTCCTGCAGATCATAACGAGAGAGAAAATATACTGTTACATATAAATTATTATTAAAGCAGATGTTGAGTGTTTGTAATAAGACTGTTCTTTTTATATTGTATGTTATTATATGAAATACACAGACATTATTACACTGAATGGATGATAGTGGGTGTTCCACTCATTAGTCAGTAGGGGGCGCACTAAACACACAACAGAAATTAAAGCTCAATTAATTTGCAACACTAAGTTGTGAAAGTTGTAAAGCATGCAATAAGAATTATTATATTTTATATTTCCTTGATGGATTTAGAGACCTGTTATCATACGGACACATTCACTGAACATGAATGAAACAGCAAGAGGTGTTTAAGAGGCGTTCATATTTCAGGTAAGTTATGAAAAATGACATTACAATGGGCTGCATTTAGTCAAACCTCATCTGCATTGGCCGTAAGCGTCGCGACAAACCACAACATGCAGCGAAACTCTCTCACAGAAACTGAACGAGCTGGTGGAACAAAAAAAGACGAAATGGGCGGGGCTCGATAGGTATCAAAACAATATTTATTATGTTTTAGCGCTTGAATTTGTATTTTCAATTCACAGATATTATTAAAGTTTCTTAGTATCATTATTCAGTCAGAAATAATTAATGCCAAGACTTTAAAGGGGTCATATGATGTTGCTAAAAAGAACATTATTTTGTGTATTTATGCGTTTTAAGTTTCAAAAAACACATTATTTTCCACATACTGTACATTATTGTTTCTCCTCTATGCCCCGCCTTTCTGAAATGCGTCGATTTTTACAAAGCTCATCGGTCTGAAAAGTGAGGTGTGCTGTGATTGGCCAGCTATCCAGTGCGTTGTGATTGGCCGAATTCCTCAAGCGTGTGACGGAAATGTTACGCCCCTCACCATACTGTGATGCCTGCGGCAACCACATGTGACACCCCGGGCTGGACTCCGCTTCTTCGTCCACGGTGAAAGCCGGCGATCCACAGCGCGAAGTTGATGTATTTCCTCAGCGACCAGCACGGATCAGCTCATGACGAGGCAGCAACAACAAAACTACAGTGAGAATAAAAGTTACGCCTTCTTTCTTTGCGTGAACATTTGGGCGGTGTTATGCAAATCTTCCCACATAGTGAGGTAGACATGTGGGGGCGTGTTAGAACGAGGCGTTTTAGGAGGGTGTGGCTGACTCTTAACTTTTATAAAGAATATCTCTTTGGATTTGAGACTTTAGTCTTTGCAACTTTACAGATCTTCTTTATGCACCAAGAGCTTGTAACACTCCAAAGAGAAAAGAACAATTGGAATCGCATCATATGACCCCTTTAATGTCTGCTTCTGAAGCGCCACAAAAAAAAAGTGTTGTCACGTGATACGTGTTACTTTTCACCGCAGTGTTAAGAATTGACCAATCACAGTCGTTTGCGATGCCATCTCTTTCCATGTAATTATTAGAGATTGCTGGCTCGGATTTTTTCTTTTTTGTATTTCAGGAGTCAGAATACATTTGAACGATTAAACGTTCTGGTGTACAAATGTCTCTAATAAATAAAATAAAAAACATCCTAAGATTTGAATGAGGCTGAACGGAGGATGGGCTTTCTGAGCCCCGAAGCGCCCCCTGCAGAAATAACAGTTTTATGTCACATTAAAAAAAAAAAAAACATATTGGGCAGCATTTGCCGCTCAACAGACGCGACGCGACAAAACCACAGCGCTCCTATTATAATCAACGAAGCAGCGCGCTCGCGGTGCCGAGAGTTCGCTGATTATGTTGGGCGCGTCTAGTTTAGTCGCGTCGCGTCGCTTGATGGGTGTCATTGGTCGGTCTCCTCTCAATCAGTGTGATCAGATGTGATCTGGCACCTGTGTGTGAGCCTGTTGCTCATGTGTGTTGTGGAGCGAGCTGCTTCTATGCTGTGTGCGATTATGCGCGCAACTGCACGATAAAGATCATGCTTTGCGGCTTTGCGCGTTAATGATGATGAAGAGGACGCTTTACGGATAGATACATTTTGTGTGTGTTTCTTCATGTCCACTGATCTGTCCTCAGCCTCCTCCAGCATCTGATGAAGTTTGGGCGCGTTTAGATGCACTATGTGATGCATTTGTGATATAGTCACCGGCGCGTCTTGAGAAGATCATTGAAAGCAAGATCCTCGTTATTTGTTTCCGCGATGTCAATCAAAAAAGCAACATTGACGGAGAATGGGGTTAAAAACGGAAAATCGAGAAATGTGCTGGAGCGATGCGCCTCGGTCTCTGAGTATTTTGATATTGCTTTCAAGGTGTGAGTTGCATTTTTATTGTGTAGTTTATTGCTGGTGTCATGATTTGTATTGGTGGTGGTGTTGTTATTGTGTCTGAAACATTTGCCCAGTATTAGTTGGCACCTGTGGTAATCGCGCGTGCGTCTTCTAGCCTACTCGGAGATCACTTTTCAAGCATGCAAAGGCATGTTCACAGCCATGCAACTGTCAGAATTCACTTGAAATGGCTGCAAACATGTATTTTTACATGCAAATTTAATAGTAGTTCAGTGTCTAATAGTACAATGTAGCAGTGGTTCTTCAAAACTGGTTTTGCGTTACGACCAATGGTGAAAATAGTTATTAAAATTGCAATCAACTTAGCAAAATTATTAATATAACAGGTTTTTTTTGTAGAATAAAGTTAAACCTTTATTCTACAGTGTTAGTTGTATTTTATTATTTGCATTGACCTTATCTAACATTGCTTTTTTCCCTCTGCTGCCCACAACTTGTTAAGGGTCACAAACCACCAATTCAGAACTACT